ACAACTACTTAGACGGACATGTACAAGAGTACATGAATCAAGAGACCAACATGGAACACCAACAAATGAAGAAGACCGTGAAAGAAGATCATATGACCAGGAGAAATACATAAAATAGAAGAGACTTAAACCTTGTTCTTGATTAGTTAGTAGGAGAAACATAGTATAGTACATTACAAGTCTTTCATTACAAATCCAGGAGAAGCAGAGTACAAACCAAGTAGCTTACAAGAGAGATGAAAAGGAATCAAAGCAAATGACCTAGCTAAATAGAAGTGAAGTTAGACAGCAGAACCCGTGAAGAAGATCATATGTCCTACAGGGAAAACAACTTGCACTTGTCCTATTGCACCCGTGAGTGAACCTGCAACAACAAAACATACTCTGAAACAAAAAACAATAAGACAATAGCAAGAGATATAGGAAGTCATGTCCTAGTCAGAAGCAAGCAACAAAAACATGCATCATTTAGTCAGAAGCAAAGCAACAGAAACATGTATCATTTAGTTCCAAACAGATAGAAATAGTACATTCATTACAACCTTAAGCAGTACGACCGGTGAATCAAAGAGACGACGAAGTTGAGCCAGAAGCAATGTGACCTGCAGAACAAGACAAAATAAGCAAGTTAAACCAGAAGCAATGTAGTAAAAGAAAGAACAAGCAAGTTAAAGACGGAACAAGCAAGTCAACTCCAATATAAAAGACTCACCACTCTTTCTGCTCAAGTGTTTGCTCAGTATTTCAGAACACTCTTTGCTTTCCGGACATACACACATCAATGGAGAAGTTTTCCTATCTCCAACCACATTGAACACAAATAAGTCTTCTATGTCGCCTCTGTTATCAAGACATAACTTTCTCCAGCCTCTTCTGATGTATACGTGCCGCCTGATTCGCAAACTCACAGTCCATGAATTTCCCTCTTTGTTCACTAGTACCATCTCTTGGCATTGTTTGTTTAAAGCAGTAGAACGCGTAGCTGCCACATGAAGTTGATGCAAACACAGAACGTAAAGACACAGAAAAGATCACAAGTTTGTCTTCTTTTAGATTTGAAATAGAGACACAAAACGTAAAATACTCGCAAGTTTGTTTTCTTTTAGATTTGAAGTAGTGACGTCAGCCAAAAAACAGTAGTCGATGAGAAAGAAGACATTGCCCATGTTCCTCCTGAAACATAAGAAACATTTTCCACGTCAAAAACATCTCACAAGTTTGCTATGCTATTACGGTGAACTTTGATTGAATCTTACTAATCTTGTGGTGATGCTCATTGTCATCAGCATCACCCACAGCATCATCCGTAGCATCATCCGCGTCGGCTTCTTCCTTGATGATGTGAGGATGTGTATACTGAATCTCACAACAGCTAGGACCAAAAGGAGTGACACGAAACACCATGTCTCCTTCGTGTTTTAACATGACAAGGTCACCGATTCGAAGGTCATGTGCTGTGGTGAAATCTTTCCAACCTTTGGTGAGTCTTCTGCCTTCTTGTATCACTTCCCAAGAGTTATCTGAATCGTCCGATATTAGTTTCCATGTTTTCTGGTTCGTCTTCCCTTCTATGTGATTTGAGAAGAAGACGAGGAAGTTGAGCCATAAGAAATGTGACCTGCACATAGACTTCTAGCTCAATGTAATTAATAAAATTTCAAAATTTCTTATACAAAAAAAAACTTTTTTTTTCCTAAGGACTCTTAGAAGGAATCCACCATTGTACTGCTTATTTTGCTAAGAGTCCTTAACTATTCAATAAAAAAATACTAAAATACTCCCTAAGGATTCCACAATGGAATCTACCATTGTGGATGCTTAAGTCACCAATTTCTTAACCAACGAGTTATGTTTTCTCGCAAGAAAAAAATAAATATGAAATACAGTTTGTGTGTTAAGATTTGTAGAATGTCAACATCTTTTAGTCTTTAGTTCTGGCTCAACTTCCTCGTCTTCTTCTCAAAGCACAGAGAAGAGAAGACGAACCAGAAAACATGGAAACTAAGATCGGACGCTTCAAATAACACTTGGGAAGTGATACAAGAAGGCAGGAGAATCACCGGAGGTTGGAAAGATTTCAGCACAACACATGACCTTCGAATCGGTGACCTTGTCATGTTCAAACACGAAGGAGACATGGTGTTTCATGTCACTCCTTTTGGTTCTAGTTGTTGTGAGATTCAATATACACATCCTCGCATCATCAAGGAAGAAGCCGACGCGGATGATGCTGATGACAATGAGCATCACCACAAAATTAGTAAGTTTCAATCAAAGTTCACCGTAATAGCATAGCAAACTTGTGAGATGTTTTTGACGTGGAAAATTGTTTCTTATGTTTCAGGAGGAACATGGGCAATGTCTTCTTTATCATTCGACTACTGTTTTTTGGCTAAGGTCACTGTTTCAAATCTAAAAGAAGACAAAATTGTGAGTAGTTTATGTTTTGTGTCTCTATTTCAAATCTAAAAGAAGACAAACTTGTGATCTGTTTTGTGTCTTTACGTTCTGTGTTTGCAGCATCTTCCTGTGGCAGCTACGCGTTCTATTGCTTTGAATAAACAATGCCAAGATATGATACTAGTGAACAAAGAGGGAAATTCATGGATTGTGAGTTTTCGATTTAGCGAATCAGGCGACATGTATTACATCAGAAGAGGCTGGAGAAAGTTATGTCTTGATAACAGATGCGACATAGGAGACTTATATGTGTTCAATTGGTTGGAGATGGGAAAATTTCTCCATTAATGTGTGTATGTCCGGAAAGCAAAGAGTGTTCTGAAGTACTGAGCAAACACTTGAGCAGAAAGAGTGGTGAGTCTTTTTTGTTGGAGTTGACTTGTTCTGTCTTTAACTTGCTTGTTCTTTCTTTTACTACATTGCTTCTGGTTTAACTTGCTTGTTTTGTCTTGTTCTGCAGGTCACATTGCTCCTGGCTCAACTTCCTTGTCTCTTCGTTTCACCAGTCGTACTGCCTAAAGTTGTAATGAATGTACTATCTCTGTCTGTTTGGTACTAAATGATGCATGTTTCTGTTGCTTTGCTTCTGAGTAAATGATGCATGTTTTTGTTGCTTTGCTTCTGACTAGGACATGACTTCCTAGATCTCTTGCTATTATCTTATTGTTTTCTGTTTCATAGTATGTTTTGTTGTTGCAGGTTCACTCACGGGTGCAATTGGACAAGTGAAAGTTGTTTTCCCCGTAGGACATGTGATCTTCTTCACTGGTTCTGCTGTCTAACTTCACTTCTATTTAGCTAGGTCATTTGCTTTGTTTCCTTTTCATCACTCTTGTAAGCTACTTGGTTTGTACTCTGTTTCTTCTGGACTTGTAATGAAAGACTTGTAATGTACTATGTTTTCTTCTTTCTTATGTATTTCTCCTGGTCATATGATCTTCTTTCACGTTTTTCTTCATTTGTTGGTGTTCCGTGTTGGTCTCTTGATTCATGTACTCTTGTACATGTCTGTCTAAGTAGTTGTTCTTGTTCTCTTGTTGTTATGTTGTTTCAAGTTTTTTAAACCTATGTCTTCATCTTAATATTTTTTTTAAACCTAAGTCTTCAAATTGTTCTATACTAAATCCAAACTCGATCATGACTAAATTCATTCACTCCAAACCTGTGTTTAAAACGGCGCTCGCTTTTTGCGCCATGGCGCAAGGCGAGGGGTCTATTGCCTTGAATCTCCATGGCGAGGGTATGGTTATTAAGGCGCTCGCCATTGTGCGCTTTTAGCTTAAATCTAGGCACCAAAGGCGCTTGAAAGGCGCGCCTTATAGATTCCCATCAAAACATTATGTTTTGACCTAACTCAATTCATGTCTGCGAGTTTTGTGTCTTGAATATCTGACCATTTTCTAAATATAAAAAGGTTTAATACATAAACGTTAAAAATAATATCCATTTCATTTTAAATGTTGTTGTAGATTTTAAAATATGTTTTGTTATAATTGGCTTTTTTAATGCTTTCAATTTTTTCTAGTTTTGTCTCTATTTTTAACTTATTAATTAAATAAACTAAAACATTCAATAGAAGTATAATAGAAAATGTAATATTTTTCTAATATGTGAAAAAAAAAACTTTATACAACCATATAAAAATGGAACAGAGAGTATAACGTCTCGAACTGGGGAAGCTCATCCAATCTCATAAATTCTGTTTGGGGAAAATCGCTCGAACAACACAAGTCTCGGCGACTTCCCTTCCTCTTCCTCAAGGAAGTTTTAGCACGACGAAGGTTGGTGCTCGTAAAGTTTTTTTACTCAGTCGAAGATTGGTTATCACTCTAATGTTATACCTGACATGGCTTGCAGATTCGCGAATCCTCCTGTTGAAGTGAAAGCAGATTTTGGAGCTGTCATGGATGTTCTCAAGAGTTGCTTGGGAAGTCAGATCACTTAGGTCATAAGAAGAGACAGAGACCGTTTTCTTTTCTTTCTGAACACAGTTTGTTTGTGTACTCTTAAATTGTGTCAAAAAGTATTTATGAATAGAAATAATTATTTAAATTAATAAAATATATAATTTTTTAAAAAGTTTTCGAATTATAGCTTTTTCAGTTCTAATTTTTTTTGAATTTCTTAAAAAATAATTTTCAGGTTTTTTTTTTCAAATCAAAAATACTTTTTGAAACTATTTTTAAATTTTAGTTTTAAGTATTTATTTATATTTTTATTCAAATTCTAAATTTTACCCACCAAAACCCCATCCTTTAACAGAAACCTAGATTAGTTAACCATATGATTATAATTGTTTATATATTTCCTTACAACCAAGGATAAATATGGTTAAAAGAAAAAAAGAAAAATGTATTAATAAAGTGTTAATTTAGACAATTTCCCAAAAATATTCTCCCTCACCATTTATCCAATAACAATACAAAAAGGTCTTTTTTATATGGGTTAACTTATCTAAAGACCTAAACGTGTTTATTAACCCTATATATATATTTATCATATTCCCTCTCCACAGCTCTATACTGTATCTTCGGCCTCTCATGACTTCGGCAGAAGTTGAACCAACCAAAGAGAAGAAGACGGTTCCTGAGCCGTTTTCATCACTTCCAGACGAGCTTACAGAGAACATTCTTGCCCGTGTCTCGAGATGGAAGTACGCATCGCTCTCTCTCGTCTCAAAGAGATTCCACTCTCTCTTATCATCTAAAGAGATCTACAGGACACGATCTCAAATAGGAGCCGAGGAAACATGCGTCTATGTCTGGTTAATGTTGCCTGATAACCCGTGTGCAAGATGGTTTAGTCTTCGGACGAAACCTAATAAAAAGCAAACCAAACGGAGAAGCAAAATTAGGTTTAAGCGGGGCTCGAGTGGACTTTCGGTTGTGCCTATACCTTCCTCTTCTACCGATTCTTTTCCCAAACAAGATAACATCACAACGTTTGGTCCGGACATCTACTTAATCGGTGGATCTTACAAAAAACCATCTTCCTCTGTTCATATATTTGATTGTTGGAGTCACACTTGGCGTGATGGCCCTAACATGACCGTCGCTAGAAAGCATGCACGTACAGTTTTACTCGATGAGAAAATATATGTGATGGGAGGTTGCGATATTGACAAGTACAATGCCAACTGGGTAGAGGTATTTGACATCAAAAGTCAGTCTTGGTCAGCCTTGCCTGGTCCTGACGCTGATGAAGAAGAGTTACGTAATTACCTACGAAAAAATAGTGATTATTGTACAATTAATTTGTTCAAAGGAAAATTATACTTAGTGGCAGATGAGGAGGAATTCTCTTACGAGCCGAAAAATGGTAAATGGAAACTTGTAAGAGAGACGTCGAGTTTAATATCAGATTCCATAGAAGTTTCGTGTGAGATGGGGAATGTAATATATGGTTGCACTGACTCCGGTAACTTAATGTGGTCTGCCTCTGAGATTGAGGGCAGAGATTGGAGAGAGATCAAGGGTTTGGAGAAACTGCGTGAGCCTCCTACAAGAGGTTTAAAAAATTGGAGTGATTTTGGACTGGTGGGCTGTGGCGGTCAACTTTTAGTTATGTGGGATACATATTGTTCTAGCTACAACGGATACAACAAAATTTGGTGTGCAAAGATTTCTTTAGAATCAAGACGCAATGGACGTGAGGTGTGGGGAAAAGTTGAGTGTGTTGATGTGCTCACCTTTCCTGTCGAAAGATATGAAAGTTTTGATTGTGTTGCTGTTTCTGTTTGATGTCTATTAGAGATGGTATGAGTTGTTTCTATTGCTTTGAACATGCTGTTTTGTTCTTTAAGACAATCTTGTAATTTGGTTGTTCCGCACAAGTCGAGTGACATTATCATAATTAAATATGCACTAATTATTATAAGTGGTTTTGTTTGCATTTTTTGTCTTACACATTAGTGTATGGTAATTATTTTTCAAATGAAACTACCATTACAGTGAATCGTGATTACGCAGGTGTACGTGACCGTGTTAAAAATATTATAAGAAACTGAACATGTATTTTGAATGATTATATATACAGAGACATTTGCTACGTCATGTCAAGTACGCTTCGGTACGTGGTCCTTGAACCAGATATTTTTGGTCTAGTGTTGGATTTGTCCTCTGTTCCTGACCTCGTTCCATGTCTTTCTAGAGGAGAAATCTATTAGTTCTTCACTGTTAACCACCCAAACGTATTGTATTGTGGATAGCAAAGGTAGTTGTAAGGAAGTCAGGAAGATGAGAAGTTCCTCAGCTGCTACAGAACGAGCACCTCGAAGAATCCAACCTGCTCTGTTGCAAGCATCAGAGACTGTTGCAGTTCCTAGTGGGGTCCAACAATCATACCAGAAGCTTATGATTCTGCCATTCCCCAGCTTTGGTCTGAGAAAGCGGGAAGCTAGACCTCGTTGAGAGAGAATTGATTTCCACGTTGAGGAAGTAGTCTTGCTTTCATCAATAGCCCAAAAGTTTTCTCCTTTCAGCCGGTATTCTCGGGTCCATTCTGCCCAAAGCGAATCAGAATTTGAGAATAAGAACCATATCAGCTTCAGACATAGTGTTTTGTTCCATCTGCCAATTTCTCGCAGGCCAAGACCCCCTTCAGCCTTNTATAACAGAAGAGATAAGCTGTCTTCGACCTGCAAACGTCAGAGCCTTGGCTGACCAGCAATTGAAATTACCTGAGATTTTTTCGAGCAATGACCTGTAATCAGATAACCTTAATTTTCGATGCATCAGTGGCAAGCCTAAGTAGCGGATTGGCAGTGAGCCTATGGTGAAACCAAGGCGGGATAGGCTTAAGGTTTCAGTATTAATTAAGCCAGCTGTATACAATTCTGTTTTGCTTCTATTCATTCTCAATCCCGACCACTGAGCAAAATCTTCCATTGTATCCGCAATGCATTTTACAGAGTTCACAGTGCCATCAGAGAATATCATTAAATCATCAGCAAAAGATAGATGAGTAACCTTTACTGTCGATGTATGCGGGTGATATCCGATGAACCCATCTTCATATTTACTCTTTAGTATCTGTGCAAACACTTCCAGTGCCAAGACAAAGAGATAGGGAGATAGTGGGTCACCTTGTCTAAGTCCTCTAGTTCCCTTAAAATATTCACATAACTCTCCGTTGATTGCAACAGAGAAGTGAGTCGTTGTTAAGCATTTTTTTTATAAGAGTTCTGAAAAATGGAGGGAAGTCCAGAGCTTCTAGCGTGAACAAGACAAAATCCCAGTCTAGGGTGTCGAAAACCTTCTGAAGATCAACCTTGAGCATACAGCGTTTTGATATCTTTTTCCAGTTGTAACCTGCTACAATTTCTGTGGCTAACAACACGTTCTCAACCAATAAACGGCCCGGTATGAAGGCTGACTGCGAGTTGGAGACAAGAGACGGGAGAAGACTCTTTAGTCTATTTGCAAGGACCTTTGAAGCCACTTTGTAGACTGTATTGCAACATGATATTGGCCTAAACTCTTTCAGCCGAGTGGCATTTGCCTTTTTTGGAACAAGAGTTAGGATAGTTGCATTCGATTGTTGGAGGAGTTCACCTGGAGTTAGGAATTCTTTAACAGCTTCAATCATATCACGCCCCACTGATTTCCAATTGGCTGTGAAAAACTCCGCTGGATATCCATCTGGACCCGGTGCTTGTGTACTCTTACAATGTTCCTCAGTTCTGTAGTACAAGAACTAAAGTTGAACCCTTTTCTCCTACTATTTACATTAAATCCTTTTTCAACTAGGTGGACGATTTAGAGAATGCAGAAAATGAGAGTAATAAGATTTTTTTCATATCTTACCTTGTATATTAGATATCTCTATAATATTACAGTATTTGAAAAGTGAGTTTTTTACGTATCATGTTCATGTTAATTTCACATGGTTGACTACAAAAGTACATTTAATGATTTTAAAATAATTTATTTAATTAAAATTATTAAATTTATGTCCTTTTATATTATATTTTCCTTTAATTCCTTTATTTATTTTTCTAATAATTTATATAGTAAAAAGAAAAAAAAACACATTAAAAATAAATAAAAAGAAAGTATTTTACTTTAGTTTCCTTATTTATATTTCCAGTAAGTTATATAATAAAAGGAAAAAACTATAATTTAAAAAAATTAAAGAAAGTTTTAATAATATTTATATATAATTTGATTTCATAAAAATACAAGTTAACAAAAATAATCTTGAGATTAAGAGAAATAATAAAAATAAATACCTATTGTTTGATAGTAATATTTTATTAATTTTATACATATAAATTATATATTTCAAAAAACTAAATCGATTAGATATTTCATATACAAAACCACATTTTAATTCAAAATATAATATTATTTATATAAATTATAAAAAAATAAAATTAAAAGTAATAAATTAATCAGTTATTATTATTATATATTATATATATATATATAATTTCTGTGCATGAATGGGCTTGAAAGAATAGCCGGGTGTTAAGTATTCTAAAATTTCAATGATATTAATTTATATAGGTTGTATTATATTTATATCTACTGAGATTTTATAAGTTACCTTTTAAATACTTAAAAATAGTTATCCATATATATATTTGTAGTGATAAATCTTCGTTTTCAAATAAATATATATATATTAATAAAAAAAAAAAAAAAAAAAAAAAAAAAAAATATATATATATATTTTTAAAAATGTATAAATAATAGATTAGCCCACACTATCAATCCAATAAGAATACCCAAAAAGTCTTTATATACCTAAACGTGTTTCTTAACCCTATATACATTTATCATATTCCCCTCTCCACAGCCTCTATACCGTATCTTCGGCCGCTCATGATCTCCTACGAAGTTGAACCAACCAAAAAGAAGAAGAAGACGGTTCCTGAGCCACCGTCGTCGTTTTCATCACTACCAGACGAAATCACAGAGAACATTCTTGCCCGTGTCTCGAGATGGAAGTACGCATCGCTCTCTCTCGTCTCAAAGAGATTCCACACTCTCTTATCATCTAAAGAGATCTACAGAACACGATCTCAAATAGGAGCCCATGAAACATGCATCTATGTCTGGTTAAAGTTGCCCGATAACCCGTGCGCAAGCTGGTTTAGTCTTCAGTTGAAACCTAACAATCAAAACGGAACCAAACGGAGAGGGAAGATTGGGTTTAAGCGGGACTCAAGTGGGTTCTCGGTTGTTCCTATGCCTTTCTCTTCTACAGATTCTTTTCCCGAACGACATAACATCACAGCTGTTGGTCCAGAAATCTACATAATCGGTGGACGCTACAAGGAGCCCTCTTCCTCTGTTCGGATCTTTGACCTTCGAAGTCACACTTTGCGTGATGCCCCTAACATGACCGTCGCTAGAAAGCATGCACGTACAGTTTTACTCGATGAGAAAATATATGTGATGGGAGGTTGCGATATTGACGAGTACAATGCCAGCTGGATAGAGGTATTTGACATCAAAAGTCAGTCTTGGTCAGCCTTGCCTGGTCCTGGCGCTGATGAAGACGAGTTACGTAATCACTTACGCAAGTATAGGGAAAACTATTATATAGACGTAGTTAATATGTGTGAAGGAAAAATTTACGTAACTGCAGTTAACAAGGACTACACGTACGACCCGAAAAATGGTACATGGAAACTTTTAAGAGGGAAGTCGAGTTTTATAGATGGTCCAGTTCTACAGGTTTGGTTGGAGATTGGGAAGGTAATATGTTGTTGCACTCGCTCAGGTTATTTACTGTGGTCTGCCGCTGAGATTGAGGGTAGAGTGTGGAGAAAGATTAAGGGTTTGAAAAAATTGTGTGAGCACCCAAACATAGGTTTAAATAAGGGGTATGCGTTTGCACAGTTGGATTGTGGTGGCAAACTTTTATTTATGTGCTATAACAGTTCTCGTATCGAAGGAAAAAGCAGAATTTGGTATGCCAAGATTTCTTTAGAATCAAGATCATGCAATGGATGTGAGGTGTGGGGGAAAGTTGAGTGTGTTGATATGCTTACCTTTCCTGTCGAATCATACGCATGGTTTGGTTGTGTTGCTGCGTCGGTTTGATATCTTTTCGAGATAGTATGAGTTTTTTTCTTTTGCTAATTTGAACATGCTGTTTTGTTCTTTGAGACAGTCTTCATCCCTTTGTTTTCACCTACAAGTCAAATTATATATGCATTAATTATTATTGGTAGTTTTATATGCATTTTTTGTCTTACACATTAGTGTAATTTATAACTACGATTATAGTGAATTTGAGTAATAAGCAGATGTACGTTAAGAATAATATTATAAATAAAAAATTGAACATGTTTGAGTGATTATACGGAGATGTTTGTTATTCCCCTGGGCCATGACTCACCTAATCTTAGGACCGGCCTTGGTCATGTCAAATCTATTAGGTTTAGAATAAATAGAGACACAAGAATTTTGAAGTCATATATATAGTGGATCTTGCAAGGAGTTTTTTTCTTTAATATTCCTTCCGTTTCAAAAAGATCCACATTTTAGAAAAAAAAAAAAAGACAACCCGAGTGTATGCGCTTAAGAAGTGTGATGGGGAAGAAGCTACGGAGGAGGAACTGTTGGCTTGCATATTCTCGAATCCTCCTGTTGAAGTGAAAGAAGATTTTGGAGCTCTCATGTATGTTCTTAAGAGTTACTTAGGAGGTAAGACACTTAGGTCATAAGAAGAGTTTGCTTGTGTACTCTTTCTCGTAATAGAAGTTCTTACTCAGAGTTTGAACAATCTT